CTAACGATGCAAATATTCGGCATCGCACGGTTTGCACAGTTTCCTGATGACTATTGCCTGTTACCAGTTACCAATTGCCAGTTGCTAGTTGCCAGTTGGTTGGGCAAATCGCGAGTATTGCTTTTGCATGAAATCTTTGATAGGAAGAACTGATTTAAGCTAGTACAACTTTTAGCATTTAAATAATAGATACTCCTCTCCCCGCTAAAATCGAAGAAGTCAAATTGAATTCATTTGCGATCGCTGGATCGATCTTTCAATCAAATTTTAACAAAAAGCGTGCGTCGCGTGCACATCGAAACGAACCCAGACCGAACTCTATGCCAAGATAGACAGACATCATATCCAGCAAATAAATGAGACTTACGGGAGGGCGCACATTTGCATTTTGTTATTTGATTTAATTTTATTTCTGCTGTTGTTTGCCATCAAAATCCAATCAAAATTAAAATTCGTTCTAGTTGGAGACAAAGTGCACCAAGGATTGCATCTTTAATTCTGCCAACGAATTTGTACATCTCATAGTCGTTTTTGTTTTCCATTTTGTTTTTATATGCAAATGATGATCTCAACCTTTTGATAAATCGAAATCCATAGTATTGGAATTTTTTGAATTTTGAATCCGACTACCAAAAAACATACAACACTCACATGCAATAACGACACCCTATTAAGCGCCCTATTAGAATAAAGCACTGCATTCTATATACATAATGTAGCAAATAAATTTCGGGCATCCCAGCCATCTTTTTGTGTAATAAATTTTAGTTCATATTTAACAAAAATGAAATTAAAACAAAAAATCGCATTATTCGCAAACTAAAATTACAAATTTGGTTAAAATTATTCGCACGTTAAGTGATAAATTACACCGCATTTAACCACAAATGGTGGCGCTGTCCGCAACGGGTTCGACGTAAGTATTTCGGTTGCAGGACCGAGCAGAGCCGGTCATCTCTCGCATACCTATTCCCCAGAATAATACATATATGCACTATATAATTGTATTTATTTGTATGCATACAGCCGTTAACTTTATTGCCAAAAATCATATGCAGATCTAATTATTAAATTTCTTCAAGCGTTAAATTGAAAATTTTTCATTTGCAACTCAAAATATGCTGAGGTTTACACCTCAGTTGAAACATCCGCGGTGGGCATAACAAATTATTTAATAGCTGCAGCAGCTAAAAATTAAAAATAATTGCCAAAACTTTAAATATGCGCCACATACGGTAATGAATGTCGGCCGCTGCTGGCACTGGACGCAATATTTCATCGCATTTTACGTGAATGCCGTGGTCGGCTCTCATGTGAATGTCCAAAAATTGATTACAAAAAGACTAATGGAAAACGAAATCAGTTTAGAAATTGTTTTCTAATATTTATAAAGGAATGCCAATAAAATTATTCTAGAAAAAATTTAAGTTCTACCAAAGTGCTAAGCGCCATCCACAATCAGAAGCCCAGACAACATATTTGGATATGTTGAGATTTATTTGCCTTGAACTTCGAATGTTTTCGAAATAAATAAATGACAGCCATATTATTAATATTACCGGAATCAACCATTGGACATAGCCAAGTTCATACACGTATAAGATTAGTTACCTTTTCTTTGAACTTGAATGTCGCGCCTTCACAAAACGTGACTGTTTATCCACTAGATGTTTAGGAGTCATCTTCTAGACAAATTTTTAGACTTATCAGACTAGTTTTCTTCTAATCGAATACGGAAGTCGCGCCTTCTCAAAGGACCAGTATCCATGCACTAGATATTTAGGGGTTGTCTTTTGGACATAACCAAGTTCTTAGACTCATTAGACTGGATTTCTTCTATTTGAATATTGAAGTCGACTGCTGTTCAGACTCTAGATGTTTGAGACTTTTACCTCGTCAGATTTGACGTACGGACGGTACCTCATCCGAGGTATCACAATGAACCATAATTTCGTTGGATACCAGCATTACAACGTAACCTAAGCTAACCGAATGTAACAGGTATTAAGTTTATTATTCCATATCACACAGTGTGGCGAATTTGACAAAAAGCAACACAAATGTCATACTTGCACGAACTTGCAGCTGATATTTATGGACACAATAGGTCTTGATCTTAAAAAAAATCTAAAAGCAAAAACAAACCTTTTTGGGCATCTATTTTTAACTCCAATTAAGTTCAGGGAACTCTATAAATCCATAGAAACTTACATTTATTCATTTTTTTTTAGAATGCCTTAAAAATATTTTCAATGGATTATGTATAGTAGCTTTGACAAAGATATATTTTGAAAATCAATAATATGACTGATCTGAAACATATGCGAAAATATTAGCAGACATCAATTCCAAAATAATGTTATATTCCAAATATGATATATATATGTATTAGTGATACTGATATTACTGAACTCAGCTTTAATAAGAATTTTAGTACTAACTGACTAAATTAATTATAAAAAGCAGAATCGAAGAAAAGAGTGACTCCGCAAGAAGAAGAGTAAAATGGTTTAACAGTACACGAGAAACGTTCAGTAAAAGTACAAGAGCGGTCAACTTTATCAGGTTGAGCAATTAATGAAAATTACAAAACGTAGTGTGAATGAGATATAGCTTTTAAAATGATTAAGCCACTTAAATAAAGAATAAAAGAATGTTCGTTGTCTTGAAAAGGAAGCACTAGTTTGAATATTTAAATTGTATAAATCTGATTAGATCGAGAATAACATAAGATTCTGGAAATATTAAATATAAAATTTTATCAATATATAAAATTAAGTAGAAATTAAATTAGTGAAATTAATGTTAAACTAAATTAATGGGTCAAAATAAAACTCTTTAATTTGTAAATTATTTTAAAATATTGTTGTTAAAATATATACTTAACAAATAGTAAAAGAATTAAAGAAGATTAAGGTTTTAATAGTCTACAAAATGTTTTATTGCGATTGCTAGACCCATTATTCAAAAGCAATGTACGAACATTTTATTCTTCCTAATGTTAGGTTAAGTTAAAAGATATATATTTTTAATATTTATTTCACACAAAAAAAAAGTAATTGTAAATTTATATATTTTTATATATTTTTAAAAAATTTTAAATTTATGTAACAAAATATAATATTTTTATGAACTTATATAAAAAAATAATATAAACTCTATAAGAAAAATATATTGACTTACCTTTTTATTTATAATATAATTATAGTATTTAATTTACTCTTAAGAAAAGTTATTGTAAATCTATATATTTTTGCAACTTAAATTTAAAAAGTTATAGAACAATATATTAAATTTTATTAATTTATTTTTTTACTCTTCTATTTAATTATTTTTAAAAATAACAAACTCTATACGAAAAACATATTGACTTACCTTTTTAGTTATAATATAATTATTGTATTTATATCACACTTAAGAAAAGTAATTGTAAATTTATATATTTTTGCATCTTAAATTTAAAAAGTTATAGAACAAAATATTAAATTTTATTAATTTATTCTTTTAATATTGTATTTAATTATTTAAAAAAAAGTAACAAAAAGGAAGAAAAATATATTGACTTCCCTTTTTAGTTAGAATATAATTATTGTATTTATATCGCACTTAAGAAAAGTAATTGTAAATTTATATATTTTTGCATTATTATTATTTTGCAACTTAAAAAATTTTATAAGAAAATATTCAATGTTTATTAATTTTTAATTATATTATTTAATTATTTTTAAAATAAACAAAAAGTTAATAAGAAAAATATATTGACTTACCCTTTATATTAACGCCTGACATAAACACAGATACCATTAAAAGTGTTGAATAAAATTCAATGCAATACTTATTATTTTATTTAGATATTTTAATTTTCACAAAAATTGTTTAATATTTAATTTATTTTTATATACATTTTTACACTCAAAAAAAACAAACACACTTAACTTTAAAAAAAGTTTTTTTTCTGACAATTCCAAATAGGTTTTCAATGATAATAACTCAAAGTTTTTATCAAAGCACTGACAAATTAGCCACCACAACAACAACAACACAACTCCGGTGTTTTCTTTTGTAATCGAAGCAAAACTATTGAAGAGCATTTTTATATTACTTTTTCACCACATTTTATCAGCTTAACGGGAAATTTTCAACACGCCTGTGTTGTGTACTTGTAAATTGACAACATCAAGCAAAAAATACCTATGCTTCAGTGTTTTTTTTAACACTGTGCATAATTATAACTGCATTCAACAAATGTGATTGAAGCATCATGCACTGAGTTTTTTTAGTTGATACCGTTTTTACTTAGAATAAATATAAATGCATTAATTTATTATTTTTTTTTTTAAATATTAATCTCACTATTTTATATAAGTATGTATGTTTTAAAAAAAGATAAATATATGTATAAATAAATATGTAGATAATATTTTTATTTGCCTTATATTACTTCATTCATAATGTTTTTTATAATAAACATACACGATTTTTTTACTAAACATTTGCAACATTTTAATGGCTTTTAATATTCAATATATACAACACGAACGATAACACTTTGCTTTTATTAACAACAATTAATTCAGAATTAATTTATAATTATAATCAATTATTGATTTGACAATAATTATGAACTCCGCGATAATTATGAAAAACGCGATTACACCGCACCGACCTTTAAATAAGACTAACTTCGCTTTCAATGCTTAAAGTCTAGTGCAGGCGCTTTCAATCCCTTCCTTATGTGAACTCAGACTATGTGGATTTAATTAATGTGATTTTAAAAAAAGTCCATTATTTGTGTTAACATTACTACGCATTAAATTATTTATATTCAGCGTACTTAAATGTTAACCAATTATGTATTTTTAACATTGAAAATGTTTTTACAGAGGCATTCTACAG